AAACTTAAAAAAAAGAATTGTTCTATTTATGTGCCTCTCAATATTCCCCCTTCAAGTCTCACACCCTATCCAGAGTTTGCATTCTGAGCGCTGGACATTGGAGCTGGAAGAGACCAAACAGGCCTGGAAATGCTTCTGGGATTGGAGAGGTGACCGCACTTTGCACCTGCTGCCTTCTCTACCGGGGTCCCCCCCCCCAACTTCCAGCCCCACTGCTGGCAACTCTATCTTCCTTCAGTTGAAGTTTAAGTCCCTTCTTCAGAGCGGCCTCCCCTCATCACCTGATTCAAATCAGTGGACTCGATTGCAATTTGTCCTTGCTTACTGGTTGTCCGACTACTTGTCTAGTCCCTGCTTCCCAGACTAGGCTGCAAGCTGCAGAAGGACACGGACTGAGAGTGCTGTGCTCGCCATCACAGTGCCAGTGCCCAGCCCTACGCGTCACACACGGTAGGCAGTCAACAAAAGGGGGTTCGATGAATGATTGAATGAATGAATGAAAGAATGAAAGAATGACCCACTCAAAGTCACTTGCAAAGACTGGGTTCGATCCTATTTCAGATCTGATGATTTTTTTTTCTCTAACCACATCCCACCCTCCAGGACAGAAGTCTAAAGGCCTTAGGACAAACCTGTAACTTGATTCCAAGAATACAAATGGGTGATCTTATCTCTAAAGGAAGAGGTCCCCTATACTGCAAACCACCAATCGCCATGACTGTCGGCTGCCCCTGCCACCCTTCATACTGTGGGCTTAGCTACCTGGCTCCTGCAATGCCTTTCACCTTTTAGGTTCTGTCTCCCAGCGAAATGCTGTGCTCCTTCAGGCCAGAGCCCTGTAAGGATTTATGAAGGGTTTGTAAAATCACGCCCCAAAGGCCTAATCCAGTGGGCAGATGCATTTTATGTTTATGAAGTGATTTTTAAAAATTCTTTATCACTTTTTGAAATATGAATTCTAAAACGTTCACGCCACGCCACCTCCCATCTGGGCTCACTACAGGCCCCTCCCTCCGTCAGTGCCACGCACTGTGGCTGCGTCCAGGGCTGCGTGCGCTATACGTCCGCCTGGCCCCGCAGGCACTGGAGCTTGTGGCCTGTCGTGGCCTTGAGGAGGGTGTTTGTGCAGTACACTCTGGCCGGCCGGCAGACCCCAACTGCCCCTAGATATCACTCACTCTCCATTTCCCATCCTATAAACACACCTTACCCTGGAAGTCCTTCCTTCTTGTACCTTTCCGTTCATTTCCCTCGGAAGCCCGTGGCGTCAGTGGGGGGCAAGCAGTGCCTCTCTTCTCGTCTAGGTCCCTCCCCAGGGAGGAGCAACAAGTACCCAGCATGAAGCCAGGGGGGCTGAGTGCTGAGAAACAGATCAGATAGACGCAGCTCCTGAAGGACTCCCATCAGAGACCAGGAGGGAAGGGAGGGTGTGCACCTCCCCAGAGCAGAGCGGGAGCGCAAGGGCTCTCCCTCACCACCTCCGGCATCTGGCGCTGCACTGGCCACAGGGGGTGCCGTGGGAAAGCCTGCCGGCTGCCCCCCTCGGGCTGATGGCGGAAAGAGACCAGCTGTCTGAGGGGAGCCCTGACCTTGTGATCATCATTTTTATTCCCCAAGATGCAGCTCCTCCTTTGAGAGTGCTCGCCAATCATCCGCTCCCACCAAGTACAAGGACAGTAACAGCCCCTTCCCACTGCTGATGTTCCCAGCACTGACAACCTCGAAGGACCCGGGTGAGCTCCCTTACAGGTGCCCAAGGCTCTGCTCCGTGTCACTGCCGAATGGGCATCCAGGGACGACTCAGGGCACCCTCTCACGGGGTGTCCCCACCCACCGGTTACTCTGAGTTCAAGGCAGCAGTCTTCGCTAGTCAACCGAGTAATTCTCTGAGCAAAGATAATTCTAGAAACCAGTTATATGTAACATATGATTCCCAGTGCATAATGGATTCTAAACATTCACAGACAGAGGAATGGGCTAAGTCAAGTGTGAAGTGTAACGTATGAACTGATTTCCCACTGAAGGACTCGGCATAACGGCACGGACAACAGATTTATGCCTGGAAGGGGCATCCCTCTGAGAAGGTAAAATCAGGAAAGGTTTTATGCTTCAAATCTCCAGAGACAAAATAAAGGAAAAATCAGAAATTTCACGTTCTAAGTTTGTGACGGGAAACAATGACTGGAGGTGTTCTCTGAAGACAGGTACCTTCCCTCCTTTCTGAGCAACACTGTGTCCAGCATCCCGCCTGTGGTGCTGGGCACCCCGCAGCACCGCCCTGGGAGCCAGCCTGGCCCCCGGGGAAGGAGACGCCAGCGCGGCCGGGGTGTGCCATCTGCTACGGCCCAAGGGCTAAGGGCGAGGACTCCAGGGTCACGACCTGTGTCCCAGGCTGGGCCGGGCAGCACCGGTGGTGCAGAGGTGAGCACAGCAGCCCACCAGGTCCTGGTGCCGTCGTTTACAAGCTGTGTGACCTTGGGCCAGCCTAAAGCCTGAGCACTTCTTTTGCTTGAATCTGCTCATCTTTAACATGAGGGATAAAGAATAATCAGAATGTCCTTTAACCGGTGAATAGATAACCAAAATGCAGTGCGCCCACACGACTCATTATCCCACACGACTCATCATCACCGACGAAAACAGACCGGCCGACGATACAGGCAACCACCCACACGAGTCTCACGATCGCCACGATGGGTGAGCTAAGCTGCGCACAGCGGTGCACACACGTACGATTTCATTTATATAAAGGTCCAGGAGACACACACCAGCCTCGTCCTGACAAAAGACGGGCCAGCAGTCTGAGGAGGGCAGAGGAAGGAGGGGCCGGGGAGCGGCGCGAAGCCCTGGGGTGACGGGAGGGCTCCGAGCCCGGACCAGGGGCTGGCTCCACGGGGCGCACACGGCGGGCGCCGTGCACACCGTGCCCTTTGGGTGAGGTGCTTCGCTGCGTGTGAATTAGACGTCCGTGAAAGCTGGTTCTCACGGGCATGCCCGCAGGTTTGCGCTGAGAAGCGCACGAGAAAAAGCTGTGAAACGAGGGGCTTCGCGGCGGGTCCCTGCCGGACAGCCAGGCACGCGGCAGAGACGCCAGAGCGCCCCGCTGGTGTGGGCCGACTCCAGGCTTGCGTTAACGAGGCTTAAAAACAATTCTCAAAGTGATCAAGTCGATGGACAGTACACTAACCGCCTCCCAAAACAAACACATCGGGCTTTAAAGAAAGACAGCAGACCCAGACACTCAGCCCGGAGCGTTCACCATGGCCAACACCCAGTCAAAACACTGCTCATCAAGCAGGTGAGTATGACTGGTAACCAAAAGGGAAACTCAGCCAACAGAAATGGATTCAGAAAAGACAGATGATAGAATCAGCAGAAAATGACTTTAAAACAGCTACTTACAAAAGTTACTATTATCAAGGAAAAATAAAACCATGAATAAAATACAGAGATAAATGGAGGATACGTCTGTCTCAACACAGAAGAGTAAGTGGAGCTTCTGGAGCTGAACAGCACAGCACCTGAAACCACCGACCCCTGGGCGGGTGTAACGGCGGATCAGACACTGAAGAGGGAAAACTCAGTGGCACGGCGACAGGAACCACCCAAACGGAAGCAGAGTTCAAAATGGACTAGAACAGAACAGAACAGAGTCTCAGCGATCTGTGTGGCGATTTCAACGGACAGAACCCACACCCCTGTAACTGGGGTCCCAGGAGGGTTTAGAGGAGAGAAAAACAGACTCCAAGACATAATGGCTGAAATTATCTGACTCTGAGGAACACAGTAAATCCACAGACTCGGGACGTTCCGGTAGGATAAACACAGAGTCAGCCACACCCACGCACGTTATAACTGAATTGCTGAAAGTAAATGATTAAAGAAAATAAATCTTAGAAGCAGCCAGAGAAGAGAGACACTGCAGACAGGGGAACCGAGATGAGAATCACCGCCGACTTCCCATTGGAAATGATGCCAGCCGGAAGACAAATAACCACTTACAGCACTACAAGGAAAAGAAAAGACTGTCAGCCTAGAGTTCTTTATCTGGTGAAAAGTAGAGACATTTCCACACAAACAAGGCTGAAAGGGTTTTGCCAGAGGACCTGCTCTACCAAAAGTGTTAAATGAAGTTTTTCAGGCACAAGGAAAATGATGCCAGATGGAAATTGAGCTCTACACGAAGGAACAGAGTGTGGGAATGGTAAATATGTAGGTTTGAAAAACGAGGCTTTGATAATTTAGGTCCCAAATATAATCTCCCCTCTCTAATGGGTTTCTTGTAAAAAGTACACACACAAACTTTCTAGTTTCTCTTGAGTTCTGAGCACAGGCTTCAGCTGCGCCACGGCTGCTGGTCTGTTTGGTGCTGTTCCTCCTCTGGCGGCCACACTGGCCGCTGGCTGACTACTATGTTACGACGCAAAGACAAGTAGGACGTGGTGTCTGCCGCCACCGAGTGCGGAGCCTGCTGGGAAGAAGAATCAAGCCGACGAAGAACTGAAGTGTGATTCACTTAGCTCTGTGACTGTGGGCAGCTCCCTCACCCTCTCTGAACTTCAGTCTCCACAACTCTAATAGTACTATCTCATAGGGTTGTTGTGGAGATAAAAAGCGTTCACATCTATAATCTGGCAGAGCAGGGCCCGATGTGTAATAAGCACCTAGTAAATGTTAGGCATTGTTGCTGCCATTGTTACAGTGCTGCCCGGGAGGCTGTAGGAGCCCAAAGAACATCCACGTCAGGGAGGGATGGGTGGGAAGGGAAGACGCTTCAGGGGCAGCGGTGCTTCGGCTGAGCTTTGAAGGACTAGGAGGGTTAGGGGGCACATCTAGGAGGAGGGGAGGGACTCCGGGCAGAGGCAGCAGCACGCACGAGGCCACCGCCCACGTTCTCAGTGAGGCTGCGGCATCACCGCCTTAGCTGTGGCCCGGGAAATGCCAGGGGGACCCGGGGACATCTCTGGAAGCCCTTCTGTCTTCCTCCCAGAACACCTTACCTCCTCCGTCATCCGATTCATCCAGGCTCTTCTGTTTGAGGCGGTGACTGCCCCCGAAAAAAGAAGGAAAGCAGAACACAAGTTTCAAACACAGAAACGGCCCACATTCCTACTGCATCCATTCTTTCTCCCAGAGGAAAACGCCTCTGAATCCACGCCCCCCCATCAACGTGCTCACACCTAACTGGGCAGCCGGGTCTGCCAGGCATGGCTGCCCCTGCTGCGGACTGGACCATTCCGGGGGGGCAGGGGCATCTCACAGACTGAACTATGAAGGCTGCTCCTGCCTCTGGAGGTGTGAAATTCGATGGCCCTGACCATGCACTCCATCTTTGCCTAGAAAGGTCCTTTCTCTCCTCATTTTTGATACAAGTCTTAGGAGAAGGCTAGGTTTAGAAAGCAGGCACTGCTTCTGTCTGTTCATATCAACAAAGCAGAACCCACGGGTCAGCACTGTGACACCCGGACACGCAGTTCTGGAAGCTATGGGGCAGGACACACGCCATGGCTGTCAAGGCCGGAGCCCAGCCCTTCTGCTGAAGCGGCAGCATTAGTCAGGCCCTCGACTCCGTGAGCGTGATGCCAGCCCCAGCCGCAGCCAGACTCCCACTGGCCGTTTTCCGAATGCTGTCGGACAAAGGCTGCGCTGTTGACCAATCACCCAGGTGCCAGGACAACACTGGAAACGTACTCTTCCACTTCTTCGGAAGCCCTCCTTCCTGACCTGCGAAAAGAAAGAGGAGGCTTGTGAGAGCCCACCCGTCTCTGGGGGGTTGGCGCGGGCGGTCGGACAATGGGTTTCAAAAGTGGGGGCGGGTCAGCCTATGCCGAGTGCTTTACGAGGCTGGTTCCTCCGCACAGGCCAGGCCCATAGTCGGCACGAGATCTGCAGACACTGGAGTCAGGCCTCCTACAACCCCCTTTCCACAAGACTCCACGTCAAATGTCTGCGTGTAAGTGCAGGCCGAGTGAGCTCAAAGCCCAATGAACACAGCTGATGCAGTGAGTGCCCTCCTTTCTCCCAACCATTCGCTGACCAATGTATGGAGCACATCTTTAGGGCTGAGGCCTTGGGCTCCAGCAGGAGCTGCAGTGTGACCCGTGCGCAGCTTCCCACAAGCAAAGGGGGTGGGGCCAGCCACACAGTCCAGGCTGCAGGTTCAGGGCCTGCATTTCCACACTCCCCCCACGAAGGACCAGAAGCCCCTGCAAGGGATGTGGGCAAGTCGTGCCCTTAATATGCTCCACGGGAACCGGAAGCCTGTTTACGCGCAGACACCTGCCTAAGGCACTGGTTCTCAAACTTGCACGTGCCCGAGAGCCATCTGGGAAGCTTAATGGACGGGTGGAGCGCTGGGCCCAGCAGGGAGGTGTCTGCGTCTGCATCAGCTCGGCCGGGGGATGTACAGCCCAGGAATATGCATCTTAAATAAGGTCCCGGTCATCCTGGTCCAAGCAGACGCCACTGACACGCCACCGAACGCCGGTCTCAGGTCTTCCGACTGAGACCGGGAAACACTGACGACTGGTACAGGCGATGGGTACGGGGTGATGACTTTTCTACAGGTCTGAACGTTTGCACGGTAACGGAGTTTTTATTTTTTTATGGCTTCTTTTAAGTTAGAAATCGACAGCCACAATGAGTGGGGGCCAAGGGCGGTGGCAACGTCCTCGCGGCCGGGAGGCAGGGTGCCCTCCACGGTGCTGGCCCACGGAGCCCCACCGCCAGGAGCTACGCTGGAGCCAATGGCAAGTCCTGCAAATTGCAGGTAATCCCCCCAACGCGTGTAAGCATAAATTAAGCCCACGGTTAAACAGACCACTTTCCATGAAATTGAGACCATCTCAACTATACTAGGAGGGAAGGAAGGGAGGGAGGGAGGGAGGGAGGGGATTTTGGCTGAAGTCAGAGGGGGAGAGGAGGATGGGCAGGGCAAGGTGGAAGAACAGGATGCAACAGTTCTGAGCAGACCTCCCAGGCTGCGGTTTGGGGCTCTCAAAGGACCGAGAGACCGAGGAACTAGGGGTCGGAGGGCGAGTGGCACTGGAAGGGCAGTACAGGCCCCGAGGCGACTGCAAAGGGGCGAGCAGGGCAGGGCAGCACCAGCTGACTGAGGCCTCCGGTGCCGTTCTCAGTCACAGGACGCCTAAGGCAGAGCCCAGGCAGCCGCCACTGGGCGGGAGGAGGGAGGGCTCTGCTCGAGACTCACTGCCTCTCACGGTCACGCTGGGGTTGAACTCTGTGACCCACCGTCCCCAGGTGAGTTGCCCACAGTAACTGACAGGTCACCACTGGGAGAAGGGCTCCAACGAAAACCGGGAGGAGAGAACAAGGGGATCGAAGAGGCTGGGGAGCGTGGGCCCGCGCCCTTGTTTGTGCACAGGAGACACAGGCACCTCTGATTGCCCGTGGGAGTTAGGACTGAGCCGGTCCTTCCTACCCAGTGTGCCGCCGCTTCCTAAGTAGTGGTGATTTTGTCTGAAGGAGACAATGACGACAACGCTAACCTTCGGGGGAAGGCTGACTAATTGCCATTTATCCACTCAGCATCCAAAGAGGGGATGGGTTTCACATCTGCCTTAATTGCTGCTGAGCCCACATCCTGCTCTCTCTCACTCTAGGGGGAGCCACGGATCCTCCGGCGTCTCATTTCACCCCACAGGATGGAGCAAGATGCAAACGGGGCCCTCACGGACGGCGCGGGCCTGTCGGGGTGCCCTCAGGTGGCGTTCTCTCTCTCTCTCTCTCTCTCTTTCTCTCTCTCTCCCCGAACCCCCTCTCTCGGCTAGAACTGCTACAGGGGCCTGAGAGCCTTCTGCCCGGCAGCAGAGACAGGAAAATGGCACAGAACACCCAGCACTTGGTGAGGGTGGCCACTTCCGGGCCTCAGCTGGCTCACAGGTGAGCTTGGTCTGGACCACGCTGCTGTTTATTTTGATTCTGTTTTGTTTTAACATGAATTCATTGTCCAAGTTGAGAGATTTTGTACAAAAATCCAAATTTCTAAATTCTTCGAGTACAAAGCCTGGCAGCCCTGGGCTTACATTCCCGCGTGGGAAACTCAGGAAGCCTGGCTGTGGCCGCCCCCCTGGAAGAGCCTGAGCCCCCAGCCCAGCCCTCGCTGACACGGGGTCCGGCACTGGGTCTCCACCATCCAGTCTGCACCGCCGCCGCTCTTCTCGCGGACGTGAAGAGGCGAGTGGAGTGTCTCCTGTGGCTACGCAGCCACCGAGCAGGAGGGAGCGGAAGGCAGACTAGGTGGGGAGCACACGTCAGGGGAATCTGCAGAGTGTGTTTCTTTACAGGGGGAGGGTCATGAACGTAATTTATGCATGCATCTCAGGAATAGAATGTAAGTGCTATTCTGAAATAAATCCACACGTCACAGGTTCACTTTAGCTACCTGGCCCCCAAAAGCACCTGAGGTCACACAGTGACACGGAGCCCAGGGCTAGGACACAGAATCCCGCACAGTGATTGCGAATTACAGGTCACGGCCCACTAGTGACTCACAAAATCAACTTAGTAAATCACCACCAGCCTTTTTTTTTTTTTCAGTTTCACACACACACACACACACACACACACACACACACACACACCCAGTCATGGTGTAGAGTGCATTTTTAAATGGTTGGTGACAGGTTAAAAAAGTGAAATTGCAGTCGGTCTACTGCAGCCCACCAGGGTCGGTAACCGGCGGATCTGGAGCTTAAGTCCCGCCCCCCCACAGGGTGGGGTGGAGCCTGAGCACAGGACTGTGAGTCCTGGGTCATCCCTTCCTTCCAGACATCCCTCCGAGGAAACCGTGTGACCCGGCCCAGCCCCAGGGCAGGTGACACGCCTCCTTCCCCAGAAGCGGCAATGAGAGGGTTCTGGGACATTCTGACAGCACTGTGAGACCATCTGATGCAGAGAGAGCACTTCTCACTACTCCTCCAAGACTTCCAAGGCTACGGACCCTAGCCCGGCTGAGCGCTGGAGGGAAGCAGGTTTTGGCGGCACCATGGGAGACACTGGGCCCCGTGCTGCGTGCTCCATCGGAGTCACACGGGGTCTGTGACGAGGCTGAGTCGAGAACCCCCACACCCGACCTCCACCCTGGATCACAAACACACTGCCCGAGCCTTTTCAAAGGCACAGGGAGCTGATTTTCAGATGCCCTGGGGCACCCACACCGCTGTTTGGGTTCACTGTGCAGCATCTGTTCCTGACCCTTCACACTTGGGAAGGCAAGAGACGGTCCAGACAGTGAACTGAAGGCTGGAGAGAGCCCTTGAGCCCGGGAGTTCTCACCGGCTCACCGGCGGTGCACAGGGGAGTCACACCTGGGAAGCACGGTCAGGGTCCACGTGCCCGGCCTCACCCCAGGCCCCTGGGGGCATACCTTCTAGAGATGGGACCCAGTCGCGTGTATGAGAATCACTGCCCTAATGCTGATTTCAAATGGCAGGCTGCACTCTCCGGTTGCTAAGCAGCAAAATGGAAACCTGCCTGTCCTTCCAAGCTGCCTGCTTCCTCCTAACAAAAGTGTTCCTGAACTCTGACCTCACCTCCGGGCTGAGGGGAGCGAGGACGAGGCTTCACCGGCTGAAGCCCCATCCTGAGTGGTCCTGAGCTGGCTATCCCGAAATTCAGACAAGACTCCACGGTGTTCATAAAAGCTAGGCAGGTGCTCCCCACCCTGGCGGGTCCAGAGCAATTCAGATCTGATTGTTCAATATTCAAAATGTAAAACACAGAGGTTGCTGAACCAGCACTTTGAAAAGTTAATTAAATGCCAGGTTTCTTTTTAAGAGCTACTCCATCACTTGCTGATTGCTTTGGCCATTTTGCAGAATGAAGCTTTCACTCCGGACAATGAGTAAATGCTCTCTCTCACCCCCACCCTGTGGAGGCAGGGGGACAGGAGGAAGGGCACCCCACTTTCCAGCAATGACGTGCCGGGCCTGGTTGGTGACCAGAGCTGTCCTGATGGCCCTTTTCCAACCACGAAAAGCACTCAGCCTCACAGGAAGCCGCTGGTTCTCTAAACATCCTCGCCCGCAACACTTCAAGGTTAAGGGCGTGGTCCCGCCATCTCCACCTTCACCGGAAGCCCAGTCCTTCAGTCCGACATGCATCTAACCCCCCTCTGGTTTTCACCCCACTCCTCCGTGACCCACACGCGGTTTCTCCTCCCTGGCTTCACCAGTCACCCTCGACTCTCGGGGGATGGCCCTTCTCCGGGCCCCGCCCCCACGGGCCTGGCACTGGAAGGCGATGACTGCCGACAGCAGTTAACGTTTGTTGAGCTTCTGGGTGCCAGGCACTGTCCTCGTGTTCTCTCATGTCTATACTACTGCTATGTAGCACATATTACAGGCAGTGTTGCATATTGTTTAACTGTCACGCTATCTTATTTAATTTACTCCACTTTACAGATGCGGAGACTGGGGCTCAGAGAGGCACAGGAGCTGGTGTAAGGCCGCCCAGGGAGAGAGCGGAAGGGTCGGAAGACAAGCTCTGGGCTGTCTGAGACCAGACCACAGGCCAGCTCCTAGCCCTACATGGTACAGGAACACGCAGGCAGTCCCACACCACGGGAATCACTCATTTTACAGACTCTGCTGAGAATCCGATTGGTATTTCCCATGACCAGGACACACTTTCAACTTCCAGTAGTGCTGTAGCTTCATCAGGCTTGACAACTTGGTAATTAATACTGGTGTGATTGTTCCGTA